AGGAGCCTACGATGCCTACTATTTATTTACTTACTTACTTACTTTATTTATATACTGCTTTTCTCAGCCCTCAGGCGACTCAAAGTGGTAAACAACATTGATACAAAACATCACGAGACAAGTATAGGGCAATTAAAAACAATTGTAACATAAATCATTAAACATCAGTATAACAATCATTAGCACCACAACAATAAAATCAGAATCCAGTCTGATTTTACTAGACTTCTTTGAAGTGAAAACAGTAATCGGATGAACCTTATATTAAAGATACGATTTTTAAAAGAAAAGAAGAAAAAGTAAATACCCTCTTCTAAAAAAAGATGTGGTGGAAATCTATGAATCAAACTAAAATCAGAAGTTGGAAGATATGTGTTAAAAGGCATAGAAGGACTTGTTAGCATCTTTCAGAAATGACTCCTTTACTCATTTCTAGACAGAAATTTGAACTGACTCAAGAGGGAAATCCTCCACGCTGTCATTTCATTACTTTTTGTTGCGGAGGCCATTCTGTTGAATTCCAGGCCTTCTTAGCATTTTGTTTTGTTTTGTTTTTGCCATAGAGGCATGTCTTCCAATGGGCTGTATTGTGATTCAGAGACTCAGATCCTGTTTGCAGCTTGTTGAGAATAAAGTTCTGCCACTTCTTATGCCAACCTTGGAGATGAATAGGGCCAACTGGACAGTGGTGACATAAGGCCGCCAGGAGCTGGAGTTGGACAAGTACAGTTTGGCTGCAGTCATGCAGCCTAACACAACCTTTCACAATGTCAGAAAAAATAGTTCTGCCACTCTAACTAGCATAACTGAGTGGGCTCTGGTCTAGAGTCACGTCATTTTCTCACTTCCTGCCTTGAGCTCATTTGAAGGCATGAAATTTGCAATGCCATGTGCTTTCCATTCATGGTGGCTTGTGTTTCCAAATGATTAAAACATATAGCAGTCACTCGAGCCCCCGGTGACACAATGGGTTAAACCCTTGTGCCAGCAGGATTGCTGACCAACAGGTCAGTGGTTCGAATCTGGGGAGAGCGGGTTGAGCTCCCTCTGTCAGCTCCAGCTCCCCATACAGGAACATGAGAGAAGCCTCCCACAAGGATGGTAAAACATCAAAACATCCTGGACAACATGCTTGCAGACAGCCAATTCTCTCACACCAGAAGTGACTTGCAGTTTCTCAAGTCTCTCCTGACACGAAAAAACAAAACTGGACCTAGAGGTAATGGGGAGCAAGGTAGAAAGCTATCTCTCTCCTGTTGATCAGCATGAGATGGCATTGTACTGTCAACTTGTGATAGGATTACTAGAAGATGTTTTTTTGCTCTTGGTCATAACATATTAAATAGTTCTTTGCACAGCCTGCTCTCCCAAGATAAGACTCTCAGCAGTTTCCCTCTTAAAATGTGAGGGTTCTCCTCCCGCAGTCAACTGGTCTTTTAGCTTGGTACTTAGTAGCCTGTGGCTCACTGTGAATGTAGAAGGTTATGAGATCTTGCTGCTGTGTGCTGCATGTCTCAAAGTCAGGGATCATGAGATCTGTCCCAGGACTACTGCTGGCCCTATCACAAGGCCTGTGTGACAGCAAAAATGTGCTCAGCACTGGGAATATGCCAATGTCACAGGAATGTCATGATAGCATTCCATGCTCAGGTAAACCTAGAAACAGATAGTGTTGTCCTATCAAATGCTGATGTTGGAATAAATGTAAGTCTCCTGTGAACTCTTTGGTATACAGGATTGGAGCCAAAGAGGTGCAGGGCTGCTCCCAAAGTTGGCTGCCCTCCCCCCTCCAAGTCTACTCCAGGAGTGTGTGGCATAAGTAGAGCACAAGGGAGTAAGCAGTGAGGTGTGTGTGTGTGATGGGGGGATTGGCTACATCAAGAGGTAGGAATCAGCAGAATTTAGGAGAGATGTCTCTCAAATGGATGTGCTTTTCTGTCTTATAACAGCTACGTTTTGGTCCCACAATTGTGAGGACACTCATTGGCCAAGTATGGAGTTCTGTGAAACATAACTTGTGCAAAACCTTTCCTAGAGATGGGTTAATTGCAAGAGTTTATTATGAGGGCCTCCCTCTCTGTTATTTGTGCACATTTCCCCAAAGCACTGTATTTTCACTTCATTATTTTGTGTGATCTTGCACTCCACTTGCTTTTCTTTGGTTTCTGTTTACATCTGAAGCCATGAGCTCTGGTCACTACCTGTAGCACCGTTGACAGTGGCTCTGTGTTTTTAAAACCCTTTCAAGCAGGGAATTGGGCTCCTTTAGTTCTTGCAGTTTTTTGGTAACAAACTGAACTTTGGGAAGCTTTATCTTTATTGGGTTCTAAATTATTGCTATACTCCAAACACTGTGGAAAATACGTCTGTTCGCAGGAATGTTAAGAGCTGGGCTGAATCAGACAAAAAGCCTTTTTAGTCCAGCATTCTGATCCTGCCAAACAGATGCCGATTGGGAGCCAACAAGCAGATAATGAATGTGATACCAGCACCTTTTTCTTCTGTCCCACCCCAGCAGCTTCCATTCAAAAGCTTGATGTCTCTGGTACATTATGACTAGTAGCTACCAGTAACCTTCCCTTGAATGAGCCTGTCTTACCCTTTTATAGGCCATTCAAGTTGGTGGCCATTATTGTCTCTTGTTGTAGTGAATTCTGTCTGTCTTTTGTGTAGTATTTATTTTAGTATGTCTTGAATCTGGAACAATTCTAGTTCTCCTGAAACCTCATTCTTTTTCTCTCTCCCACATAGTTGTTCCCCCTGCCTAGTAAAAGGTAATAACTGGGCATTGCAATGTTTTTAAAAAAGCATATGCATGCCTAACACATTACACAGACACTGTTCCAGCATTAAGTCTTCCAAACGGCCCTATAGGCTTCATAATTCTATTAGTAATATACTCCATAATTTTCCCAAAAGAGATATTAAACTAACCACCAGCCTGTCCTTTTTCTTTATTCCATTCCCTTTTTTCGTTTCAGTGGCAGTGTATTGGCCACTCTCCAGTTCTCTGGTACAGATGCTGAACCAAGGGACACACTGTGTATTTTGTCAGATCAGCCATTTCATATTGGAGTTCTTTAAGATCTTTCAAATGGATGCCATGTGGAGCAAATAGTTTCAGGCCTGGAACTTGCCCTTTTTGTCACTACTCTTTTGCCTCATCTTTTCAGATTTCTTTCAATATATTGTAGAAGTATCTTTCCACATCTTCTCCAGTGAAGCCAAATGGGGAAAAAACCACTCAATTTTTGTATTATTTTGTCTTCCAATAGTAGCTAGTTTCTAGCTTCTAATGTCTTTAAATAATTCTTTTAATGATCAAGTGCTACATTTCTCAAAATGGGGGGTGGGGTAAAGGGCATCTTTTGTGTGATGTTGTGATTTGAGTGTTGTGCTATGATTGGAAACCAGGAATTGAATCTCTGCTTGGCCCAGAAGACCCATTGGGCGATCCTCAGGAAGTTACGCACTCTCAGTCCCAGAAAATTTGGCTCACTTTATTTATTTATTTATTTATTTATTTATTATTTGCGATCTTTGTATACCGCCCTTCTCAACCCCCAAGGGGACTCAGGGCAGTTCACAATGTTGGCAACAATTCAATGCCATCGATTAAACAGTATAAACCATTAAAATTGACCCCCTCCCCTAATAAAACATTAAACATTATTAAACACGTCACATAAAATAACATCACCTATCACACAGAGACATAGCCGTTGTCGTAAAGAGTCCTGGGTCATTGCATATTCAACTTTAGGTCCACCATGTCAGAATCCACATGAAGGCACACAATAACAACCCTTTAGCAAGGAAATGGGAAAGGTGATACCTGTGGATCACGTGCACCCCTTCTTGTGGCCTTCCCAAACCACTAGACTAATTTATTTTACTGCCAAAAGGCACGGAACTCCTTAATTGTAGTGGTGTTGCTAGTTTCACTTTATATGCTACCAAAAATAGGCCAAAGGCAAAACTTAGAAGTGATGGCACGCCACTTCCAGGTTGCCACAAGCATGCCCATGTGGCCCAGAAAGGGTAAAACTGGACCCTGATCCCAGTCCAGTTGCTCACACTGTGCTTTAATATTGGTTTGCATTTCTTTTGTGCGAGCATCCAGGCCTCCCTTTTTTCTTCTCATTTACCACTTCCTCATAAAGGTTATCTTGACATTGCTTCTTAATCAAGCGGTAAACTTGTGGACAGTGTGATACCTTTTGTGGCCCTCGGCTTCTTTTCTAGCTGAGCTTGCGTGATCCCCAAACTTTCTGGAGGATATGGCTGTCTTAACTCCATTTCTACCAGTTTCCTTGTTTTGATTACTCTCTCTATAGATATGTTTCCTCTTTTGAGGTTGACTGTTGTATTTCCTTGGCAACTTTTGATTTACATATAAATTAAATTTGACAATTTGGCAATGTATCCAGTTAGCACAATTGTATGAAAATATTAGCAATTATATAACTGGTCAAAATCTGCAACTCCAACCGAACACTCCAGTGTACTGTTTATGTAAATATTTCTGGGATGAGTTTGGTATCTTTTATACATACTTTTAAAGTGTAGTTTTTTGAGCTAAACGAATAAGTTGTGGTAGTACAGACATATATAAAAAAATAGGCACTAATTGTAAGCAGTTGGTTAGTGAGTCCAAGCTATAAATTAGAAGTTCCTGATTCAAATAAAACTTGTACTATGAACTTATGAGATGGTCTTTGCCAAGACATTATTTGAAATATGGGGATTGTACTGAGTATCCTTGCAGTATAGTTGAAGGATGACAACATTTTAAAGGGGAGGAATGTGCTGCTGAGGGCACTCTTGTTTGTTAATGATCACATTTATTTGTAAGGTCCTGGTAAAAGACCTCTCCAGTTACTTCAGTGGAAAAAAGAAGTGTGTACCTTATAAAAATATTAATTTTCCTGATATGAAAATACAAAAGTACAATAAGTTTGTACTCCTAACTCATATTTCTTTTTTTCTCTTCTTTCCAGCTCAGAGACATTAGTTAGCTGCTGTATTTGAAATTCTCGACACTGGCATGAAAAGGATCTGCTCACCAGAAGTGACATGGAACTCTGCTTTCCTCTCAAATGTAGGTCATGGTGTACACTAGGAGGACCTTTTCAAAATAAACCCAGCCCTTTTCCAGGACGTGTATACCTATTGTAAATTCACTTTGGAAGCTGAGATGTCAGAACATATTTTATAAACTTTTTTTTTTGCAATAAATAAGGCATGAGCCAAGGAGCCTGTTGAAAAATGAACATGCAAGGAACCACTTGAATTACTAGTATGAAGACTCACAAACTGTATTCGTACTCTTCAAATGTGATTGCGTAAATAGGATGGAGTCAAGACACCTGGAAAGTTGGCTGTAAACTTCTGAACATTTACTTTTGTTCTTAGCATAGGTTGTGTTTTACATCTTAACAAATTTAGTCTATAGGTGTTAGCAGAGCTGTAACCTTCTTACTGGAAACATTTCCAAATGCAGCTGTGGTGACAAGGACTGACAGGCATGTTTGGAGACCAAGGTTTCCACAGAGATGGTGGCAATAGTGAATTCTATATAACTTTACGTGGCTATAAAGCAAAGATCCTCCCATGTGAAGACTGTTTCTTTGAGAGCAAGAATATAGAATATTTTGTAAAAATATAGTGGAAGAGTCTGGAATGCACATGAATTGTATTTGCTTGTGAATAACAATATCGACTGTCAAAAGCAGGGTTTTCTAAAATTGGGTTCTAGCAGATATCTAAAGTCATGACATTCTCTTTCAAGCACAGTGATATTGCACATTACATTGTCATGACTTTGTCATAATTAACCTGTTCCACCAGGACGTACTTACAATCAGTTTCAGCTTGGCGTGATTTTAGTCCAGTATTTCCAATGTTAAGATGGTTTACATTGACCCAAAGCCCTCATTTCCCATCAAAGAAGTATCCGATCTTTTGGACTTTAGTATTTATCTGTGAAATGGTTCTGCATTTCAAGGGTATACCTGACCTTCAGGATTTAGCACCCACTGTCAATAGTCTTCTAATCTTAATTTCAAGGTAGGCACACTTTCCTAATTTGCATTTAATTTTCTCAGCAGCAGAGCAGGATTCACCAGGTAGATAGGACAGGGTGATATGTCAAAATGAATGCACAATCCAAAGATGGATGCAAATATCAAGATACCATGAAAATACAAGGATGCCTTCTAAGCACAGACTGGTCAGTCTTGCACGGCATTAGGATACCTGTTGCCAGGTTAACAGAAAAGGTCTGTTTCCCAAAGTTACCTGTACCAGGCAACTACAAATTGAAGTGTAGGCTTTGTAATTTCGATGGATATTGTTGCAATCAGGAGTTTCCCTTGGCTTTATTTGGCAACAGATGTATATTTTTAAATAGCATTCTAAACCCAGGAAGTATATATTATGAATATATTACAATACAGTTCTATATTAAAGATTTCGTAAGAGTCTGTGAAAATGTGTAAAAAAAATATTTATAAAAAGGCCACTTAACTTTTAAAAAAATTACCTGCCTTCAAAATGATTTAATACAATAGTAAGTTCAACTGTGCCACTTTTCATAAGAAACCATAGATGACTTTTAAAAGGATGACAAACAACTTCTTTGCAGTATTTCTACTGCAGTCAAAGCAAAGGAGAGAGAACATTTATTTTTCCCCACAAGTTGTCACAGAGTCAGATTAGAAATCAATTGGGGAAAGAGGACAAAAGATACAGCAGTGAATGGGCACTGTTTAGTTTGCCTCTAGAGACAAAATGCTGCTTTAGACCATCCTATATCTAAAAAGGAGTGTCTCTTCACAGGAGAAGACGCATATTTTGGAAGTAACTGTGGCACAAAGTGATAGCTTCTACTCAGGAAAACTGTCAGGCTACAAAAACAAGGGTACTTATCTGGAGAGATAGCGGAGAGCCGGTAGTGCCTGCATCGACTACATCCAACTCTTAGCCAGTTTCCTAATTCCTTTTTCTTGAGCACCAACACTGCCCATTTTGCATCTCTAAGATAGTATGAGATGGAAGAGTTACAGGTTTTTATCTTATGGGTGGAAAGGGGAGGGTAGGTTTGGGGGGGGGGGGGAACGGGACAGATTGGTGACTAATTCATACTTGCTCATGAAGAATTGAGAAAATGCAATCGCCTTGTTGTTCACTTTGAAATATTGTCAGGGAATTTTAGTGGTAGAAGTAATGTGTTGCTTTTCACCTTTTTTTGCTTTCATTGCTTAATATTTAAGCTTTGCTCCATGCTACCTTTTATGTCTGTATACTGTGTCACTAGGCCGCTTTCATTTGGTAGACTTGAATAAGGAGAAATGATTCAACCTTTACAGTTTGCTTGGAATTAAATGTTCAAGAATGTTGTATGCCATCTATTCAAATAATAAAGCCTTGATTTTTTTTCTCTGCACTTTTAAAAAGTTATATACCAAGCAGTCTTTTTGTGTTTTCTTAATCTGGTTCTTTCACAGCAAAATTTGCCTAGGAACAAAATTTGCCTGGGAATAACCTCCAATATTGGGAGCTCCCAGTGGTACAGTGGATTAAACCACTGAGCTACTAAACTTGCTGACTGAAAGGCCGCAGGTTAGAATCTGGGGGCAGCATGAGCTTCTGCTGTCAGCCCTAGCTTCTGTCAACCTAGCAGTTTGAAAATATGCAAAAGTGAGTAGATTAATAGGTACCGCTCTGGCGGGAAGGTAACGGTGCTCCTTGCAGTCATACTGGCCACATGACCTTGGAGGTGTCTACGGACAATGACGGCTCTTTGGCTTAGAAATGGAGATGAGCACCAACCCTCCGAGTTGGACATGACTGGACTTAATGTCAGGGGGAAACCTTACCTTTACCTAACCTCCATGACACAAAAGGGACCACTGAGTGGACAAGCATAGTATTGCAACAGCATCAGTTGCCAATGGTGCAGCTCTTCAAGACTTCCTGCAACTACTGGCATAAGCAGAAGGGCTCCTGAGTGGGTGGCAAATGTCCTCTCTTCAACCAACACATTTGGTATTGATTTTGTCTTTGAAAGATCACGAGAAAATAATTCCCTTTCACTTCAGCAGTTTGGGGCTTCATAATACTGCTCACTGATTCAGGCTACAAGCATTTTGTTCCCACTATGATACAACACGATAGTCTGCCATTTCATTAACAACGTTCAAGGATACCAAAAATCAATGTTTACATGATGGAGAACTGAATGTTTAGCTTCCTCTCAGGACAGCCTGCTTAAGAGCCTTATTGAAATGGACTCTGTGAGATCAAAGTGTCTGGACTTGATTAGATGAGAACAGTGTGGATGCATCATCCTGCAGTTTCCGATCCTATTACCTAAATAATATAGTAGGGATAGAGAAACTGTGGCCCTGCAGATGGTGATGGAATCAGGTCAGGGCTAATAATACCTGCTAGCACAAAGGAGAGCAACTATGGGAGGCTACATGGACATAAAAACCCATTGCCCAAAGGACCCACATCCTTTCTCTGCTTCACCCAAAAATGCCTCAAAATGTCAATGAACATCCTTTAGTGAGCAGAGCAGACATTTCTACAATTTTTACAATAGGCAGTGATGCAGTAGTCACTTCTTGCTGTTGCCTTAAATGATTCAAAGGGGCAAAAAAAGAACAAAGATCGTCACCCTCACAAAAGGGTTTTTAAACCCAAGATTGTTATGTAAATTCTTAGGGGATATATGTGATCTCCAGACTACACTTGCCCATTCCTGTGCTAGTGTACCTATATCCTATAAGGAAGGTAAATATATTAAAATATATGTTGTAATGTATTTGTTTATGTTGCGATAATTTGCTCATTGATTGACTGCACTCAAAATAATGCTAAGGGGTGTAATTTCAGGTTCTGCTACACCAGAACAATTCGAATCAATGTTGTTTTAGAATTAACTACTCATTTATATCATTTTATAGACCCCTGAAAAGCATTGTTGTCTTTGCATTAAAAAAAGGCAACACTGCAGCTGCCCACAATACCATCAGTGTTTTTATTACACTCAAGATATATTCTCAGAACAGAAAGATAAAACCTCTCTCGGTCACACAAATACACTTTCAAACCACAAAACACAAAATGTCTGTATTTTAATAACAGGCATGGATGCGTTCAATTTTTCTATTTAACAATGTCAAACTCCTCTTCCTTACTAGGGGTAATGCAAAGGTAACGTATATTACTGTAAAGGTTACTTCCTTCATTTGTCCACACTTGGGAGTTCCCCACAGGAGAAAAATGCACAGGACTATGTTCAATTTGTTTTCCATTTCAGTAAAGATGTTAGACATTAGATGTTTATTCATCCATTTTTGCATTCCTCTCCGAAAACTCCAAAGCCAAACTTTTAACCAGCAAGAAGATGGGTTTATGTTATCGGTTGTTGTTATTTGGATTTTGAACAAAGTTAATAGAGTATGAGCCAGTTGATGAATCCTGCTTCACCTGGAAGTTCTCAGTTGAGAGGCCAAAAGGGCGCAGAACCAAATTGCCAAGATCTTTCAGTTTACCTGCAATACATAAAAGGCACACTTTCCATTATGTACAAGAAATTGCACAGAATCCCTATGACTGCAGGAATATGCTCGCTGCTGCATAGCTATCATTCAAAATTAAGATTTCTACAGAAAGAAACAAAACTCTGCTGTTCAGGAGTTGCTCATACAAGGGCAATTATATTCTGTATAGCAGCTCACATGAGATTCTGAGCAGCAATACTGCTATACAGAATATTGGTCATTTAGAGCCGATTCACAAGAAAACAGCCATGCAGAATGAGTACAAAGGCACCTGTAGTCAGCTCCCAAAGTGTATATAAGTCCCTCTCGCTCACTTTCCCTTACCCACAGATGTGGGTAGACAAATTACATCTAATATTAAGAGTAATACATAGCCATAATGCAAAGGGATCACTACGGAGCAATGGCTTCAAACTACAAGAAAGGAGATTCCATCTGAACATTAGGAAGAACTTTCTCACTGTGAGAGTTGTTCAGCAGTGGAACTCTCTGCCCTGGAGGTGGTGGAGGCTCCTTCTATTAAGGCTTTTAAACAGAGACTGAATGGCTATCTGTTGGGGTGCTTTGAATGCAATTTTCCTGCTTCTTGGCAGGAGGTTGGACTGGATGGCCCATGAGGTCTCTTCCAACTCTACGATTCAATGATCACATGCTTCAAGACTTGATTGGTTCTCTGCTATAAGAAACAAGCCTAACTGCTGAAATTGTAAATACAGTACATGATATGCCCAACACATTTATTCTAAGCACAAGATTAGCTGTTTGAACACATTAGTATTTCGTCTGCACTTGCTATTTATAACTAAAATATTTACACTCAAGCCTGCATTACTTAGCAATGAATCTTGTTTCTTTAAGTGCCAGGAAGAAAGGATAGCACTCAAAAGTTTGTTTTCTTTATCCAGAAACTACACCAACAGTAAGAAAGCAAAACCAATGCCATCCAAAAAAAAGCGTCCTCCAAGAGTTTAGAATGAAACTAAGCCCTTGGATAAGAGAGCAAAGTACAGTGGATAAGCATACCACACTCCACATTCTCAAACAATCCCAGCCTGTACGCACTGAGAACAATATTGGCCTGAGACCAGATGCTTAAGGAGCAGTTTGAAGGAATAGCTCTATCTGCTGCCAAAGCACAGTAGGCACAGAGTTTCAAGGGAAGAACTAAGGCAAAGCGACACTAAGTTAGATTTTTAAGACACTTTCAGATGTTGGCCTCATCCTCATCTCCCAACAAGAACCCAACTCTTTGCATTGTAAAGTTAGGATAACTGCTTACTAATACCAAGGATTTTATTAAAGAACACAATGCACGGTGATATAGTCAGCTCTCCACATTTGCAGGGGCTAATGGCACAGGACCCCTGCAAAAATGGGAAAACTTCAAACATTGTAAGCCCCTGCCCCCAAACATGCAGGCTACAGTCTCCCACTAACACCTCTGGCCCCTCTCTCAGATTTGAAACCCCTTTCTCTCCAATGCACCGCTTCATCAGCATCAGCTAGATTTTATATCTCTTCCTCACTCCCTTCCCACTCAAGGCAGTTAAGCAGCAAGTAAACAAACTCACAAATAAACAAATCTGTGATAGAGAAACTGACAACTGTGGGGGCTCAACTGTGTTATTCGAAACTATTCACAGAAATCTAAGGCAAGGATTTTGTTACATACTACAGCTAAGTATTATATCTGTGCTCACACTTGTTAAAAGTGCTGTAATGCAGAACTCGGAAGGAAAAACTAATTTATGTATTTGCATCATAATGTAGAAGAGCCAGCCATGGTACTGAGTGCTCTGCTTTTCATCAAATGCCTTCAATATCTTTGTACGGGAGGAGTGCAAGCCAAGGATGACTAGCCACCACAGCAATGGTGGGGAATACTAGGCACCACACTCCAACAGCTCCTTGCAAGCCACATGATCACTTCCCTTCATGTTAAATTGAGCCTTGAAGTGGTACCAAATGGCAGTCATTTGTCTTTTTACCTTCTCAAGCTGTTTTAAGCTTGAGGGGCCCTGAATAGAAAAGAAAATACTTCTTCAAAACATGCCAAAGGTCTCTAGCAATGCATGCGGGGACATTTTCCCAAAACAATATAAAAGGTTAGGGAACCTCAAAATGGGTCTGGTGGGGTGGGTCTGCTTGTAAAGGCACTGCAAACAAACTGGATAGCAAAGCAACTTACCCAACATCTCTTCCTTAAGTTTTTCATTACGTTCTTCTATTTGTCTTGGCAGTCGCTAAAAAAGCAAAGTCAAGACAGGGTCAATTTTACTGACAGTCTGGCAACACTCTTAAAGTTTCTTGATGCATTGAGTAGTGAGAAGAAGAAAAACCAAAATCATCATTAGTGCTAGCTTACTGCACAAAGAGTTGAAAGCACTACAACAGACACAGCAATGAAGTGAAATAGAAGGCCCCCACACAGTGTGCATAGGTCTCTTCAGAGCAGCATAAAGATCTGCTTACAGGGATAAAATCCATAATAACATTATGCAACCCCAACCCAGAAAGAAGTGCAGTGGAGCATAAAACAATCATGTCATACAGTTGGAGTCGAAGAGGAAGGTTATGTCCGCTTTTCACCAGGAAACAATGTGCTAGCAAAACAGAATAGGGCACACCCATCGAAAAAAGAACACTCTTATATCATTATGACATCTTTGTGCTCAGAGAGCTGCACAGTGGCATTGTATGTTGGTGGTTGGTTTTCCAGATGCTATTCTCCTCTGTTGATGTGGTCTTTCATGGTCTGCTATACCACCTTTGTACACTGACATCGGACAACCATACCTTTAGTGCATCCATATGCACAATAATATGTGTGCAACTCCATTTCTACTGCCATCAAAACAATAAGCCCCTTGTACAATATCAAATATTTTGCCCCACAATTGTGTATGTCCACTAAGAGAATGACGCCCATTGTGTGATCCAGTAGCTCTGGATGTGACTTGGCAGTATACAGCTCAGAGTACTTGTGATTCACCTAGGAAATAGCCAGCCTATACCATATATGTTCGAGTATAAGCCAACCCAAATATAAGCCGAGGAACTTAATTTTACCACAAAAAACTGGGAAAACGTATTAATTTGTGTATAAGCCGAGGGTGGGAAATACAGCAGCTACTGATAAATTTCAAAATAAAAATAGATACCAATAAAATTACATTAATTGAGGTATCAGTAGGTTAAATGTTTTTGAATATTTACATAGAACTGTAATTTGAGATAAGACTGTCCAACTCTGATTAAACCATTATTATAACCTTTTCCAATGTAAATGTGCTTATGTATCCTTCCAATAATAATAGGGTAAAATAATAAATGTAATAAAAATAAAAGTAATAGAGTAAAATAATGGAAATGTAATAATAACAGTAATAATAGAGTAAAATAAATAATAGAATAAAATAATAAATGTAATAATAATAGACTAAAGTAATGTAAATATAATAACAATAACAATTAGAGTAAAATAATAAATGTAATAATAATAATAGTAATAACCCAGTAAAATAATAAATAACTTTTTTAAGTATAAGCTTAAAATATACTCAAGTTTAAGCTGAGGAGGGCTTTTTCAGCCTTATTATTGATTATATTTAGATATTATTCCATTTGTTATACTACATTTTATGAACAGGATAAAAAGTTTCACATATATTTTTAGATAACCAATAGTTAAATGATATGTGTATCACAAACTGGTAAGAAAAATAGTGTTACTTCAAGAAAATCCCTAATAAAAATCTTATTTTGGAGAGGTAATGATTGAGGATTTTTTAAAAAAAAATAGCCTACATTTAAATAGTTATCTGGATCCAATTCTCTAAAAAGAAATCATGTCAGGAGTGACTTGAGAAACTGCAAGTCACTTCTGGTGTGAGAGAATTGGCTGCCTGCAAGGATGCTGCCCAGGGGACACCTGGGTGTTTTTGATGTTTTAGCATCCTTGTGGGAGGATTCTCTCTTGTCCCTGTATAGGGAGCTGGAGCTGACAAAGGGAGCCCAACCCACTCTCCCACTTGTCCTGCCAGCACAAGGGTTTAACTCATTGAGCCATCAGGGGATCCCAATTTCAAATGAAGAGCAAGATATGAAAGAAGCAGGGAGGAGGGGTAATAGAAAGACAACAAATTGCCTTTGCAAATTAAAATGCCAGTTCAACATATTTCACTTTCACAACTTTCATATCAATGAATGCTATAGGTTAATGTGGTTTTGTGGTTAGAGGAGCATTTTATTGAAAGTATACACCCAGGCCACACACTTTGACGTTTCTAGACGTAAAAAGCCTTCAAAACCCACATAATAATGTAGAAGCCCAGGGCTGCTTTCTCTAGTTTGCTCAGTTCAGCAGAACCCTCCTACACTGCAGATTGCTGTACTTGTATCCCATAGCCATTCTTTGAGAAAAGGATACAAACATGTCCACCAGAGAGGAAAAACAGCTGCATATCATTAGCATTAATGCCTTGGTAGGCAAGGACTGCTGAAACAGCACAGAATCAGATGGAGATGTTGCAGAACACGTTATTTTGCACAGGGATTGGTCTCTCCAACCGACAGACACCAATCACGAAGGACTCTGTGCCCAACTCATCACCAAAGAAGGGTATTTTTCATCCTTCTGTTCTTAAGCGATATACTGAACTTAACCGAGTTACTCCTTCAGTCTTCAGATGTTTGTCAGACTAGCCTCCTCATGAATCCTACAAGGGGCCTCTTCTGCTTAGACTAAATTAAGAATGAAATCACTTGATGTACAAAACCAGGGAGGACTGCTATCTTTGTCATTCATATCTAGGAAGTCTTTTTGTTATCCTTCTCTTTTCACCAGGTGCCCCCCACTGCTTCCTCCTCTCTTCCTAAAGCTTACCATACAGGCTTCTCTTGCTTGATGTATTGATGGATCTTTTTCAAACAGGTTTTTATAGTCTTCTAAGGCTTCATCGAGTTTGTCTGTTTTTTCATAGAGCTCTGCTCTCCTCAGTAGTGCTTTGATATAATTTGCATTCAATTCCAGGGCTAGAAAAGGAGGAATAAAGTAATAGTGGTATGAACACTCAAATAGGAAGCCTTTCACCTAGAGCATTTCTAGCATGTTCCTACTGTGTTCCCTTTGCTTGAACACACCCAAGATATGAGACCGTCTTTTCACTAGCAGTGGGCCTGCTCACAAAGATTCAAATTTCCCACCTTCTAATGTTCACTCTGATGTAGTGAACATTAAAACGAATTAATATAAATGATATAACTAATATAAATGATAAAAGCACATAAGCTTGTATTTCTGCAACACCGTACAAAGAATGCACCTAGTGCAATATAGCAACAAGTCATACACCATCTTGGACATGATTTACTCTTGAGTAAATATGTGTAGGACTGCACCAATAACCTAACAGGCCGGCACTCATAATGAACATCTTTCATGACATCTTGTGTTTCTTTTGAAAGTAGCTGAAGTGCCAAATGAACACGTGATTAGCAACTGACAATTTAAATTGAGGCTTTTCACTGCCGCTATCTTGATCCAAGGTCAATCCATCCTGAGCCAGAATAGTCAACCTATGAGGGAATCCCTCTGGGATTACACTCCAATCATTAGAGTCTAATCCACTGCACTGGTAGAAAAGCTGTCTCCGCAGACTTCTAGAAATGCCGTCTGTAAAATCCTCCATTATAACATTATGTGGTCAAGGTAAATTACTCCACCTCTAAGTTTTGGGCAAACAGATGTCATAGTTAACAAACATAGTCAATTTGGACCTGTTGCTGTTTATTATTCCACCAGTGCGGAGACTATCTGAGCTCAGCCAGACCATTTTTGGTCCATGTCTTAACCAACCAACATGCATTGACTCTCAAACCAATCTTCCTCTGCAATCCCCTTTAAGAATAGACAACTGGTCCAGGTTTGTGTTACATCCTCACTGTACTTGCTCTCTTTTGAATCCTCAGCCACAGAAGCACTTGACAGAAAGCTTATCTCAAAAATTAAATTAGAACAAAATTCAGGGGGTGGGACATAATCTCACTGGCTGGTCTGCACCCTGCAAAGTATAGATTCCATACACAGACAATGCTTGCCACTGTATCTATATTATCCTCCATATCTTGTGAACAGAACTGAACACAATACCTAGATCAAGGATGGGAAACTGCAGAAGGAGGAACCATACCCACTCATATCCATCCAACAGGCCACACCGGTGCCCTAGAAGTGACATGACATCACTTCATTCAGGTGGTTAATCTGATTCATAATTTGACTTTTTTCCCATTTGGGGTTCGGGGGTGGAAGGGTGGGGAAAAGCAAGCAAACTGTATTACATTTGTGGAGAGGACTTTGTGGGAGTTTTCAGGTGAAAACAACCCACAAATTGTCCCAAAAGAAATATTTTTGGGAAGGGCTTTGGAGAACTTTGGAAGCTGCATTTAGGGATACCAAAAGCTTCAGATGGTAGTCTTCCAAAGATCACAAGAACAGGAGCATGAGCATAAAGAACAAAAAAACAGGAAAATAGTACCTTTGCTGCAGTCACTTATGGCAGTGTCTTTCTTGTCCTAAGGAATAAACAGATTGCAGTGGAAATTAATACCAAAAACCATTTTCCTGGCATTCATAACAATATAAATCAGAGAAAATTCATCAAATTTTAAATTATGTTTGCAGCTCAAGGAAATAAAGCTGGCTAAAGCTGAACAGGTTATGCGTATAAAGTATATATGAAACAAATTCATTTTAGACTCTCAATATGTATAACGCTAATATACCAAAATCTGGGGGGGAAAAACATCCAAATACTGCTGGCTTCAAGTATTTCAGATGAGGGATTCTGAACCTGTCCGGGGAAAAAACCTCAGAGTATGGTAGTGTACTCCATTGTTCAAGGGAGGGCAATCCTGCCTAACTAAGGGTTTCCAATTTACAGGAAAACAAATGCAATCAAGCCATACTGAGCATAAGACATTGAGGCCAACCAATTATGGCTGAGAGAGGCAGCACTAACACTTCATCACCCTCAGCAGTTAATCAGGGGTCTACAGTGTTTAACATCTAATCAGAAACTGATATCAGAGCCACTCTGTTGCTCAGGGGAGCTTTCTCACCATCACAATCAGACTCTTTCCTAAAGAAAAAGGTGGTGGGAAGGAGAGCAAATGTAGCTGCATGCCACTGCTTGAAAGGGATCCAAATACCTTCCGGCCATAGCATCAAGCACCATCCTGTTTGCCTTCCTCAAGAGAAGAGATAGCAGTGGGCATATAGCATATATGGATGGCAGCATTGAATTCTATCCTGCTGGTTCAGGGAAGTATCAGTTTCCATCTCCACACCAGTTTACTCAGGCATTGCAAAGGCTCTATCTCAGTTTTATTCCCAATTTTGTATTTTGAAAGTTGACAGAAATGTCCTGACAATCTCTAGTCATCTTTGAAGCTTCAAAGAGAAAGGAAGGTTGCTCACTCATTACATAAATGCTGCCACATTCACCCTGGTGAACAGAATAGCAGTCACCACAGCAATTTTTAGCACTTCGGAGCCTTGGAAATGAGCCTTTACCTGTTTCATTCTTGCTGCAGCTCTGTTTGAATACAAAATAGATCTGTCAGTCTTACAACAGGCTGGACAAATCTGCAGGGCTTTTGCATAGGAATCTTCAGCTTCTTTATAGTCTAGAGTGTAAATAAAACATAATACCAGAGATGGTCATGCAGAAGAACTAATGCTTTGAAAGTGCTTTATCAGTTCCTCATTCAGTATTAATTATTTCAGACAAATATTTTTGTTGAATCAATAAGCAATATAGAAATAATGCAGGCTCAACAGTCCCACTGCAGGTATTAATTTTTGCATTACAGGAGAGATGCCATCTTCTTTTGGAAATGGAAGCAAACTCTGACCTGTCTCAAAAGAATTTTAAAATGAGCCTAAAAAGCTGATGTATCTTTCTGATCCCTAAATAAAATCCTAATATGAAACATCCTTATAAAACATGCACTGTATTGATGCCTAACAGGTGAAAATGTTGTGGATGGAATCTGGATTTATCAAATATTTTATTGGATATTATAAACTCTCGACTTAAGTGCTCTGTTCATCAAAAGGCCAGCACAACCTTGGAAGAGACCTTTCACAGAGCTCTAATGTTACAATTTCTGTGAGGAACACAAGGATCTTATTGTCCAAATTTTTAAAGTTTTCCTGCAGTTGGAGCTGCCTTTTCCTACCACAAATAACATTGCATCTATTAGGAACGCTGGTGTTCTAGCTAAAGAGATGAAGTTACTGAATGTGAAACGGTTACATTTCCTGGAAAACACATTGTGCTAAATCCAGTACAGACTGTGACATGTTTAATTTCACCGATTTCAATTTCTTTAAGTAACATAATTGTTGTACTGCATCTACTGAGTTCAAAATGTTCTCGCAATAGGATTAATTAGGACTGTGGGGAAAGAGGCTTCTCAACTTCTGAACTGGTTAAATTTAAATATGACTCAGTCAACATGGGAAGTGTGAGACTGTCTGCTAGTTATTGTCCTTTGAATTTGTTTCCTGTGAGCATATATACAATTTTAGTTTATAAATAGAAGGTGACTCATGCCAAATCGCACAGTAATACAGAACTATGTAACATTCATTGAAAGCTTTCCTTTTCAACTACGCACTTTTATTCAAGCTGACCAAGCGTTCTCTAAACCACTGTAACCCCACCTTTTCTTCATGCCTCTGAGATTTTCTCAATAAATATCTGGATTTAGCTCATGTATGGCAAATGTGAAAAAGAAAGGCATGCCTGCTTCCCTTTTTATGTATTTCCCATTCAGCTTCTGGAACATACGTATTTTGTGGAGAACGAAAAGTTCTGAAGCTGAAAATACTCAGCATCCTTCAGTTATACACAGTATTATTTGCTTAAGAAATGGGCACTATGTTTTATTCCTAAAGATAAGCAGTCAAAAATGAGTCAAGGCTACAAATTTCACTGTACTACACTGATGTCCAACTCGGCTGTGATTCTATTCCCTTTCTTAACCGGACATGCTGGCTGGCTAGAAGCTGTATACCATCAACAACTGGGCCCAAGGTTACAGTCACTTGAAAGGACTTATCTTAGGACTATATCAGACTAGCCTTTTAAAGCAGGCACCCCACCCCCTCCATTCGTAGCACCTTCTGCTTCCTGCAGAACTCTGGGAAATGTAGTTTGGGAAGGCGAGGACCTCTCTAGCTGAGAATTCTGAAAGCAGCGCCCTAAACTACATTTCCCAGAGTTCTGCAGGAGGCAAAATATGCCAAGAATGCAAGAGTGCACTCTTTAAAATGCTAGTCTGACGAGGCTGCTAGACTTGATGGCTGATGACAACTAAGTGCTGTCTATACATTTTAGACAAAATAGTTCACTCACCTCCTTTTTTAAATTGTTCATTTCCTTCTTCTTTTAGTTTTATGCTCTCGTTTCTTCTTTCCTATAATGCACAAAAGATCACAGAATACAATGCTTATGTAAAGTAATAAAATACAGTTTATAGTTAGTTTAATACTACTAAAATTGCAAGTTAGACTTAAATGTAATCATAAACACAGAAACTACCAAAAACATATTTAATATTTTCCTCCCTTCACTAAAAATAGTTTTAAACTTTTTAATTTCTGAAGCAGAGCTATGTTCCAAAATTTGCCCCCTTTTTATTCAGACAGGCTTTCAAAGATGAAAGCTTTTAAGATCAATTCAGAGGGTACTGTGGTTTTTAACTGAGAAGTTTTTAATACTGTTTACATTTAATCCTATTTTAATGTTTGTATATTTGTATATTTGAAATGGTTATGCTGATGCTTTTATGTTAAGACACTTTGAGTCCCCTTCGGGGGAGATAAATAAATATAACAACAACAACAACAACAACAACTGATGGGATCACAAGCCTGAAAAAGTTACAAAAAGTGAACATGTCAAACTACTCTGGGACTTCCAAATTCAGACTGACAGAGTTTTGGAGCACAATACTCCTGACCTCACGATCATGGAAAAAAAACAAAGTGTGGATCGTCAATGATGCAATCCCAGGCGACAGCAGGATTGATTAGAAGCAACTGGAAAAGCTTACACAATACGAGGATTTTAAGATCGACTCTGGCACAAGCCATTAAAGGTGGTCCCAGTGGTGATCGGCACACTGGGTGCAGTGCCTAAAGACTCTGGCCTGCACTTAAAAACAATCGGCGCTGACAAATTACCATCTGTCAGCTGCAAAAGGCCACCTTACTCGGATCTACACCCACTATTCGCCGATACATCACACAGTCCTAGACATTTGGAAAGTGTCCAATGTGTCATTCAATACAAAAGCCAGCATAGTGATCTTTGTTGCCTTGTACCAATCATGTTGTGTATCAAATAACAACAACAACAACAATAATTCACAGCAGTTAACAGATCTGGGGATTTAGGCATTCCCTAATGCTAACTATAAACAACCTAGAACTAGAGATTTCTTTAAATAGAAGATTCTGCATTCTTTAGACAGATGTATCTGTTAATTTAGGAAAACTTTATGTCAATACCTTTATAGATGTTTTATTTTCTGGCTCTTAATATGCATTTGGTCACCTAATTTATAGACAAAGCTATGGAGGGTAACATACACTGACATCGTCAAAGACAACAATTATGTGCTTTCAGCTTTGACTTGTTGATCTAAGCCTAAAACCACAAAGACTCTTAAGGACCCTCAATAGAACAAACTGCAGTAGATGTAATCATATAAGGAAAACATTTTAAAGTAAATTTCCACAATTTAGAGCTGGGGCAGGGGGAGAAGAAGTCAATGTTTGTGGAAAAAAAAACTGCAAGAGTATATTCTTCTAGTTCTGTTCAGTTATCACCAATGCAATAAGGTCTTCAAAAACCACTGAACATTTTGTCCTCTGGGCTACTCTTCAAAAGTGTGCCTGTTGAATCTATGGGTTGGAGAAAGGACTGCAAATACAATGATATTCTGTTACCAACACCTGTTATCCATTTTCCTACTTTCTGAATTTCTCTTAAGACTCAAACTCTTTTCCTTTCCTTTCCTTTCCTTCCATTTATGCTATTTCCTTATTCTTCTTAGTATCAACTTCCAATTCCCCTCTCTTCTCTACCACACTCAGCTCCCAAATGCCCTCCAAGGATCTTTTACCCTCACTTCCATGACAGCCAGGCTCCTCAGCTTCCTGACACTTGGATGTCTACTCTGCCTCCTAGTTCAAGACCAGTGACATCATAAAAGTTCAACCAATAGATACAGGACTCACAACATCACAGACTTACATTTGTCCTAAGAATGGGCATATGCAAAATTAAAGAGTATTTTTTCAATTCAAATGTTTTACTTTCACACAACACAACTTACAACCAAATAACCTTGAACAACTCAGTCCTAAGACTGAGTTTGCCAGCAATCATAACAAGCCCATTTAAAATATCTTAAAACCTTTTATTTACTAAGATGGTTCATGGATTCTGAATGTGGAAAAACTGTATTTTCAAAACGTCTAGCAATGTGGCCTAGAACATGTTATATAACCAGACTAAATACAGCTACCGCAATGCAACCCATATATTATCGCAATAAATATTTAGGTTCTTTTTACAGACACAAAGACCAATACTGTATTTTCCATATCTAACCCTCCACAGCACAAAATAGTGACTAACAGATGTAAATCATGCATATTTTATCAAAACTGAAACAAAGCATAAGGCAGGAAAGGTATTTCAGATTTAGGAATAGCCAATGTGGTAAGAGTATATTTCCTGAGGTACATTATGATGTCATTTACCAGGACTGCAAGCAAAAAAGGCACAGTATACAGAGTACAGTCGGCCTTCCATATCCACAGATTCAACTATCCACAACTTGAAAATATTTTTAAAACATTCTCAAAAAGCAAACCTCAATTTTGCCATTTTATGCAAGAGACAGCACTGTATGTAGTGGGATTTGAACATCTACACATTTTGACATCCATGGAGGTCCTAGAACCAAACCCCAGTGGATACCAAGGACCCACTGTATATATTAAAGCATTCTGCATAATTCCTATCATTAATTAGTTAAAGCAAAAACTAATCCCTTCGCCCTGAGTCTCTTCAATCTGCCTTGAGTCCCTTCAGGAAGATAGGAAGGAATACAAATAAATTATTATTATTATTATTATTATTATTATTATTATTATTATTATACACACTTCTGCATTTTAAACATTTTTCAAGTCAAGATGCAAGCTGCATGTTATCTTGGGAGAAAAGCTTATTTGCTTTTCAAATGCAAAAACACGCCTTGCTGAGTCACTGTCGTACTTGCCTTCTTCTACATGATTATATAGAAAGAGAGGAGGCGTCTATACACAAGGAGACTGAACATGTCCAGAAATAGGAATGCCAAAAACTGCTATGAATAATTATTATAACCTTGAAATCCTTTTTCCCTTTATAGCAGCAAATTCAAAACTGCTCGACATAAATACTGATGCTTTTGTTTAATATTCATTTTAATTGAAATGAATAGTCTTGATACTAAGTAAAAGCTACTTGCAAAAGCCACCCCCTTCCTCAACTCTAGACAGTTAAGCTCCACAATAGAAAATCATGCTTCTGGCAAACATCTGCATAAACACTTTGATCATTGGAGTCAATCTCATCATAAAAGTGGCTCACCAAACAGCCAAACTTTAGCGTTCAGTTGCTACCTTATGTAAATCTTATTTTGAACTGACATTAGACTACTTGCAGATAAGCTGCTCCAAAACTGATTTAACATCTTGAAGCCTCAAGTACTGAGGATTCAGCAAAAGTACAGAATGACTGCAACTGTCTGACACTGTCTTATTTCTAATTCAGTCTGGTAAGTGCAGAAGAATAATGTGGTCAAGTTGAAACAGAACAAACAAAGGGGGGGAAACCAAGGATCTGCAAGTGTGGCAGACACAAACGCTTACGAAAGAGCCACTAATATCATTGTTTACAACTGCGTACAATAAAACTATATGTATCTCTTCGGGCTTGAGATACAGCGGTATATAAGCAAAGTAAATAAATCTCTGCAGATTCCTTTTACTAACAAATATCAACAAATTGAGGAGCTGGAAAAAGAGGACTTTAACCACTCCCAAGAGTTAGTTCTAAGGAACCATACACAGGATCTGACTGTAAGAGGGCTTTTTTAAAAGACCTAATTATTGGGAGAACTTTAACACTACCTATACTACTTGAAAATCATTTATTGAAATAAACAGGATTCCCTTCCAAGTATAGTTAGAAGTGAAGCATTGGTTAACACATAAATGTAGTTTTTAATCAAAACATACCTGTTTTTCTTCCTCTGACATATCTTTCTCCAGTTCTAGTAAATCTTTTTCATCTGGTTCTGCTTGAATCTCTGAGTTATCTTCCTTGTCATTGTGATTTTCCTCTACCACTTCTGATACAAAGGAGTCATTACAGTCATGGAAGAGGTCCTCATCTTCTCTGGTCTCTGAGTCAGAAAACTGATTCATTCCTTCTTTTGCAAATTTGTGGTTATGCACATCATTGCAACTGGCCTGTTGACTGTTATTTTCTTCTGAAAGTGTCAAATTTTCAACTAATTTTTCAGGAGAAACAGCATCTTCAGACTCCATGTTGGGCCTCCTATGGTGATTTTTCACTTGAAGTAAAGCAATATAAGTTAGATACAGCAGTGACTTTTGTAAATAAATTAGACAAGTCTTGAACACCTGAAAATGAATAACTCTATTTAGCAATGTTTCCCCACAACTGCCTCCTCCAGCTTCCAATTAAAGTATACAACTAGTATTCCCCACTATAATAATAAAAGCAGGTTTGGCCATTACAATAAGATTTCTATCAAAATGGCTCCACATTATGTTTAGTGAACACTTGAAATTCATCCTAAAAGAGTGGATTTTTTTTCATTTAAATCAAAATAAAAAAATCTTCACTTTACTCCTAGTGGCAGGCTTTCTGACTAAACTTTAGGAGATAGGTGCCTTCAATTGAATGTTTCAAAATGCTCAGAAACAGAACAAGTTGCTGTCAGCAACACCTTCCTATCACATTACTAATCACAATAAAAATCAGAAATTCTAGTACAGAAAAACAAGAATCTTGCTTCATACCATGTCAGATAATTGTTTCACTTCAACTTCTACTATTTATTTTGACTAACAGCAGTTCTGCAAGCTTTGGGGGTAGGGTCACAAAGTGGAGTCCACGACATGCACGTGTGGAGAAGAGCAAACTACGGATCACCTATTCCAATGCAATCTCATTGTGCCACAAGCACAAAAGAGGACCTCTTTATATCAATATCAGAGGCACTCCAAGTGGTTAGCTACTGTTCAAAGGACATTTAATATAATGCCAAGTTTTTTAACTTTGTAGTTTTTTAAATACATTACAACTGTACCCTTGCTTTTGATACAATAAATAAAAATAGGGATAAGGGGTTTACCAGCTTTTTTCACCCCATCTGAAGACACCAGATATTAAACCGAAAACCTAGCATGCAATGCTTTTGCTCTATTGAAGGCTTTATGGTCTTTCGCACACATTACCTTTCATTTGATATACTTAAGCCCCACATTTCAGGAGCTAACACCAAACAAGAGAGAGAGAGAGAGAGAGCACCATCTTTTTCCCAGAACATAATTTTGCATTTTAATTGAACCCAATAGCTTCTCCCATGCAAAGTAAAAAATAATTTTCTTAAATTCTAGAGCAGGACTAAGAAACTGCTGACCTCAAACACACAAAAGTTTCCTTCCCTGGAAACCTTTAAACAGAGCTGGATGGCCATCTGTCAGGTATACTTATTTATTTATTTACATTATTTCTATCCTGCCCATTTCAGCCCGACTTGTGCTATTCCTGCATGGGAGGGGGTTGGACTGGACGGCCCATGTGGTCTTTTCTAACTCTATTGTTCTATGATTCTAAAAAATTGCCCTACAAACACAACTAGAGGGGCACAGTTACTTTTAGTCTCTTGAAACCTAGCAACAGGCTGATTAAAAAAGCAGATGGCTGGCAGCATATTGGTCTAAAAGGCATGAGCCCACAATTTCTTGCACTAGAAGAAAGGCCCTTATTTATAGACCAGCACAACTCATATGATACAGTGCATGGGAAATCCCTCCTCACAAATCACCTACTAAGTGCATCAAATATCCCTGGGCCAGGAATGAGAGCCATTCCTTCCCAAACTGTGGATGCATCTACATCAATCCAAACACCTTTGACTCTCCAGGTATTCTGGACTTCAACTCCCACATTTCCTACCTGCTTCAGGCCACTTCCTTCCTTAAACAGCTAAGGGGGGAAAGGAAAGGGTCTGGGGCTATTAGGAATGGTGGGAGTTGAAGTCCAAAATACCTGGAGGGCCCAAATCTTCCCATGCCTGATCTACACTGTGGAATTAATGCAGTGTGACACCACTTGATCTGCCATGGCTTCGGACTTGTCTGCCAAATAAGCCAAACCACAACTCCCAGGATTCCACAGCATTGATCCTGCAGTGTGGGCACAAGCCTGTGGTCCTCCGGGTGTTTTGGACTTCAACTGTCAGAAATTCTGGAAGTTGGAAGTCCAAAACACCTGGAAGACCAAAGCCTGGGATGTATTATTATTTACTTTTCGGCTACTGCTGCTGAGAGGGAGCAGGTTACCCAGAACGCCTCCTCTTAACCCGTCAGTTCAGCCCCAGGGCACTCTCTCTCTCTCTCTCCCTCGGGAGGCCAGCGCGCCTTCCAGGGCTCCACAAGCAAGGCCTGCTCGGCTGCGACCACCATTCTCCCTCCCTCTCCTCCTGTTTCCCAGGCCCCCACCAGCCCCCTCCTTTTCGGCCGGGCAACCCCAGGCCTACCACGGCCCAGACCCCGACTCCGCTCCACTTTACCTCCACTCCTTCCTGCTCCTGCATCGTACTTCCGGTCCTCTTCCCCGAGCCAATCGTCAGGCTTCAGCGGCCCGAGCAGCGGTGACGTCACACGCCTGAACGCACCAATTGGATTGGCGAAGGCGGGGCGAGAAGCGCGCAGGCGCACGGCGCAGTGACTTCTGGGAATTGCAGTTCCACGAGTTGAGGCTGGGAGAGCGTTTGTTTTCTTATGCGAGTACTCCGATGCCTGTTTCCTCAGGACCAGGCGTGCCTCTCTGGTCTCTACGCTTTAGAATTGAATGCAGTTTGACACCGCTTTAACTGGCATGGCTCAGTGCTATGGAACCCTGAGAGTTGTGGTTGGGTGAGGCGCCAGCGCTCTTTGGCAAAGGAGGCTGAAGGCTTTGTAAAACTACAACTCCCAGGCCAGATAACACCTCCCAACAAAGGATTTCCTGGGCAGGAAGTAGCCAGGCTTTGAAGCTGCAAGGACATTCAATCCTAACCAAGGTTGCCAATTGCAACATTCACACTTGCCTACAGTAGACAAGAGTTTTTTCTCCCACCCTGGACAGATATATAAACCTCACTTGCCTAGTTTCCAACAGACCCTCAACCTCTGAGGATGCCTGCCATAGATGGGGGCAAAACGTCAGGAGAGAATGCTTCTGGAACATGGTCATACAGCCTGGAAAACTCACAGCGACCCAGTGATTGAAGCCACAAAAGCCTTCGACAACACAACTCCCAGAATACCATAGCACTGAGCCATGACAGTTAAAGTGGTATCAAACTGCATTCATTCTACAGTGTAGATCCACCCTATGTACTGAGAGTATACAGCCCTGAACTAGGATTGTTGATTGCGTGATTTTAACATTTATATTAATATGTTTTTAACTCCACATTTTAATATTTAAATGTCATTGTGTTTTTATGATTTAATTGATAGCTGTATGTTATTATTATTTTATGTTAGGGTTTTAGGTGTGTGAGGCATTGAATTTTGCTGTATATATGTTGGAAACCGCTTTAAGTCATCGTCTGCCCCCCCCCCCCCCCCCGGGTGAGAAAAGCAGTATACAAATGAAATAAATAAATAACAAATAAATGTATAGAAAAGTCACAAAATGAACTAAAATGTGTCCAGCTCCATTAATATTGCATTATTATTTGTATTATTATTATTAATTATTGCCACTACTGGAACATTTTTTAAAAAACCAGGGCCCCTATAGACTCCACTAGAGGGCTCAAATGCTTTAAATACATGGCAGCTGCATCTATTATTGCACTTTAGGAAGACCTAAAGCTGCTTAGAAGTATGTCAGCATATATGGATAAGCTTTTAAAAACAGAAATGCGGGAAATAAATCTGACAGGGCATCCAGAAAGCTGTCTTCTAAATAAGCCTCCCATTTCCTTGAAAAATTGAGTACTTTGTGATATAACAGGCTATAACTCTTATTCTGACATTGAACACAGTTTTAAATCTCTTGGATGTAAAAGGAACATATTTTCAAATAAGCCTTCTCAAACCAGCTTACTAAGAAGAAAGTTCCCATGAATAAGGAATAGGTTTAGGTTCAGGGTGAACATTTCTCAAGACGGCGAGTAAAGTCTGTAAAGCTGTGAGATTTTTATTTTATTTTTGTCAGGAGCAACTTGAAAAACTTCTGGTGTGAGAGAATTGGCCATCTGCAAGGATGTTGCCCAGGGGATGCCCGGATGTTTTGATGTTTTGCCATCCTTGTAGGAGGCTTCTCTCATGTCCCCGCATGGGGAGCTGGAGCTGACAGAGGGAGCTCATCCACACTCTCCCCGGATTCAAACCTCCGACCTATCGGTTTTCAGTCCTGCCAGCACGAGGGTTTAACCCACTGCACCACCGGGGACTCCTAGCTGTGAGATGATGCTACACAAGTCATTCGTTCCCTATTAGTTAACTTTCACTGTGTACTGTATAGCATAGTGTTGGACTGTGACTCAAATCCCAGTAGAGCTCTGGAAACCCAGTGGGTAACTCAGGATGAGCCACACACTCTCAGGCTCAGAGGAAAGCAAAGATGCCCCCTCTTTGAACGGATCCTTCCAAGAAAAATCCATGATAGGGTTGCTGTAGGATTACCATAAATCAGAAACAGCTTAAAGGCACACAACACAGACAGACCCTCTGTCTTCAAGATCCTCTGAAGATGCCAGCCACAGATGCAGGCAAAATGTCAGGAGAAAATGCTGCTAGAACACAATCATAAGCAGTCCAGTGATTCCAGCTGTAAAAGCCTTCGATAAGACCTACATTGGTCCATGGTAATATCGTTGATCTGTATGAATATGAGTCTTGAGCGTCCCTAGCACCTTTAAGTGTTTCTGCATGGCAGGGGATTTGCCTACAATGTTATGAGTCTATGATGTAAATCAGTCTCACAATGCCTCTTATAGAAAGGAAGGAACTATTTTGTTCAAGACAACTCTTGCAGGTATTGGTTCAGGGAAGGTTAGCAATGACACCACACTTTCATCAAATGGCATTTATTCCACACCTCTGGTAGGACTACGATTCCGGGAGTTTGGGTTGTAAATCCCTGCTCTGTCATGGAAACTCACTGGATAACCCTAGAAAAGTCACAGTCTCTCAGTGTGAGAAAAAAAGCAATGGAGAAATCGTGCTGAAAAATCTTGTACTAGGTTCACCTCAGGATGCCCATCAGTAGGAAGCACACCACAATACGTTACATTTCTAGCACAATCTATCTAGTTAACAGAAATAGATGTAAGATATGAGTAGGGTGCCACACAGTTAAATCAATGCCCACTTGGGGGGCGGGGGCGGCAATGAGTTCACACACACCTAGAGCAGAAAGTGATGTGATTCCCATGGGTGAAAAGGAAGTTAGATGAAAGACAGGTCAATCTGATGGATGTCTTGAGGATTAGCCAGCAGCAGCTCAGCTAACAAGCTTGTCTCTTGCACTGTCTTTTCAGCTATTAAAAGCACTGTAAACATCATCATCAATGTGACAGAGGAGAGCCTGGATCTGCCACTTTCTGCTCTAATGTCCCAAATATAGAAAATATGCTATCTCTGGCCCCTTCTATGCTCCCATATAAAATCCTGCTTTGAACTGGATTATATAGCAGTTTAGATTTATAAAATACAGTTCAAAGAAGATAATGTTGATTATCTGGCAGTGTAGGAGGGGCCTCAGTTTAGGAAGGAGTATGAAGTGCATTCACATGTCAAATGCCAATGAAGATCATCAGGGCTTCATTTCTGGAGGAAAGACAGGGAGAGAACAGAGCCCTATGCAGTGGTTTGCCAACTCTCAGGAGTCATCTGCTAGGATACATAGTCCAAATGCAGAATACTAAATAGGAGGTCTTGGCTCTTCAGCAACACTTGCAAATTTATTTATTTATTTATTTATTTATTTGCTTTGCTTGTATACCGCAATTTCTCAGCCTTGTAGGCGACTCAACGCGGTTTACAACAAGAGCAAAAGTCAATCCAGTCTCCTCTCTGAAATCTCTGAAATCTCTCTGAAATGCAAAGTCTCCTCTCTGAAATCAACGCTGTGTGCCAGCCAACAAAGTATCACTGAACAGTTTCCTTACGTCTTTGTGAGTCTGAGGCACACAACAGTTTCATGATGCCGTAGGTTGGATTATGGATCAAATCCTGTGTTCCAAGCTAATTCTGGGGCTTTGAGCACTCTCTGGCTCTCAGCATCTCTCTCACCTCCTTGGCACCAGCCTGGATCTTGATGTCTGCTGTTGTTTGGCTTCCAAGCAAGTGTACCTTGAACTCCAATGTGATGAGAAAAGTAATATATCCTTGTGGTAGTAGAAGACCATCTGGAACCCATGAAAACATGCAGGTTTACTGAGTTATTATTAGTCCACGAGGACATACCAATACTCTGATCATGTTGGCTGAGTTGAATTGTGAGAGAAAACAATTACATCATTTGCAAAAAAAAAAAAAAAGGCTCAGCATACTTCAAACTTCCAGATTAGGGATTTTATTGCACAAGGAGGCAAACAGGCACTAAAGCAGGCCTATAACCTATGGCCCAATACTGTGCCCATTCTGTTGCCTACTCCTCATGAAAAACCTGTCCCTCACTACTCATGATCAAAATCTGTTAATAGCTCCCAATCCTACCATATTCCAATCACCTACCTGAAGTAAGGATTCTCCTCCTCTTCTACTCCCTCTCAAGCTATTCCAGAGGTGTGTTTTTAGATAAATGTCAGAGGTTTTTAAATCAACGACTGCTGTAACTGCGTAATTGCTAATAATAATAATAATAATAATAATAATAATAATAATAATAATATGGAGCAGCCGAAGTGTGGGAAGGTAAGATTATGAGAAGTATACAGAAGTATGACTGCAGGATCACAGATCAGTGAATCATCATTACTGCATTAATGGAGAGAGGTGCATAATTAGGGTGCTCATGCCGGTATATACCTGCTATCACTACTTGTTCACCTGTTATTAAATAGCAGCTTAATTTAATTAAATTCCAGTCCTATCTGTAGAAGGACGTGGAAACCATGTAGTCCTCCAAACAATGTCGGAGTGCAACTTCCAATAATCTTAAACATAGCCAAAAGCAAGCCTGTAGCCAAGGGGGCGGTTTAGGAGTTCAAACCACCCCTGAAATTTTTCACGTTAAAAAAACCTTGACTTATTCATGAATTTTAACTGGTTGACCAAATCCCCCTTGCT